GACCTGGCAGATGAGCAAAATTATACTTCTGTGTCCTTTGTCAAACCCTTGACATCATGATGTATGAAAGTACATGCTATAGGAAGCTACATGCTCACAGTATCTTCCTGCCGCTCTCATCACTGACTCTATGTTTTTGCGCATGACCATATATTCTCTCAAAAATGCTTTTTCTAATGAAGTTGGGGCTATGACTTTGTTTCCGTGTATGTTTGTAATAGGAATCCTACTGTGGGAGATTAGGGAATTGTAACAAATGCTGCTGTTTCTATTAAATGATTTAGCCAGATATATTTATCTATCACTGCACTTAAAAATCTTGCAGTCCTGAACACTTGCGCATCTACAGCAGAGGTCGGCAAAATGCGGCCCAGGGGCCAGATGTGGCCCATCAGGCCATTCTATCCGGCCCATTGGGCCCCTAAAAAATTTAGAAAATTAATATTAATCTGCCCCGGGCTGCCTGTCATGCAGCCCTCGATGGCTTGCCGAAACTCAATAAGCGGCCCTCCGCCCCAAAAAATTGCCCACCCCGATCTACAGCAAAAGCAACAGGGGTTGGCTTATAAGCAGTATTGAGTTGAAGCTGAATCTGGATGGGAGCACATTATGCACTTCAGAATAGATATAAGAATCAAACAGCTAAGAGAACGGCTTTCACACAGATTGGAATCAGGCTTCTTATTCAAGCAGGCTCATTTTATAGCTCTCCCTCAAGCTTAGTCTTAACTGCTATAAGTTTAAGCACATGATCAGAAGCTGAGCTATTGCTTTTAATGACATATACTGCAGGCTACTGAAATACTTCCCTACAGGAATGGCAAGCTAGTTATTTCAAATCCCTACGTTCCAAAAAGGAAAGAGAATATCGTAAAGCTTACCTTACTTCCCACTAGAAGGTGATGGGCTGTGGGTCAATATTTATATCCTTTTGGCTTCCTGTGCAGCTCGTAGTGAATGTTCAAGACTTGTTTTCACAAGCAGGGCATGTGACAGGACTGCTGCTTAAACCATCAGTTGTGCTGTTTTAATAAACTGGGCTCCAATGCACAGAGGTAACCTTTGTGCCTACATTGCAACAGGCTCAAAGGTAAAAAAAATATACCTAATCAATATGAAGAGTAACTTCGACTGGCTAGAAATGTCAATGCAGCAAAAGCTTAAACACCGGGTGCTTACGCAATGGCTGTTCAAAGGAAAAGCACTCCTTATAAAGTTAACACCAGCCCAGAGAAAGCTGCACGCTTGGCATTTCATTAGGGCTCTCCTTTGTCTTGAGGGCTTGGGATATTTTATCAGGAAGACTTCATTGAGACTGGGTCCTCTTATACCACACTTGTAACGGGCTGCCAGATTATAATGGTCTCTCCGTTACAATGAAGTGAGGGAGAGGCATAAGCATGGTGGGCATATATTGCTCTGAGCTTTGGAGAGGGGCAGGCCTCCTCTGGAGCGGAGCCTGTGCTTTACTGTTATCAGGAGGGGCAATGTCATTTCTCCCTGGCCTTCTTCCTTCATCCCCTCCAGTCGGGATTCTGGGGAAGCGGAGGAGGCCTGGCTGCAGTGAGAAACTTAGGACCAGCAGCTTCATGGATAATTTTATCCAGATGCGTGAGGGGACCACTTTTGTCACTGGCTTATAGTGTAAAGGACGGATGGTCCAATGGTTACCACACTAGCCTGGGGCACAGGAGACTTGAATTCAGTTTCCTGTTTTGCCAGGATCCCTGTGTTGACCCTGAGTGAGTCACCTTGTCTCTGCCTGGTGCTCTTGGAACAGTGTGACACATATCTTGAAGTTCTTGTTCAGGCACAGCTTCCTTTTGATCACTGATTTCAGAGCTGACTTGGCAATAGCAATGTTATACGAGACAGTAAACTTCAGTGCTAAAGTAGTTTCAATGGGTCGACGGTATTGGGTAGAGGGTAATGGAGGTCTTGTTGACTCGGGCCTGATTTCAAGTCTGCTGCTGAAATCGGAGTTGTCACCCTATAACCATTTCTAAACCAAATCGATTAGTGACTATTAATCCTTTTGCACTTAGAGTCTTGGATAGCATTTCCTAAAACACCCATACAGATACGATAGTGGCTGCTCCTCACTTATATGTAGAGATGCAAGAGGCAAATGTATGTAGTCTACACTGTTGTGTGGTATTCAACAGGTGCACACAGGTCTGAATTGTCCAGATGTGCTGTGGTTAGATGTGGAAGAGCTCCTCAACTTCAGAGGAGTTATAGTGATCTAGCAAACTATTTGGAGTCTGAAGTTATCTTACACGCTCCCCCCTATACCTCACTTCCATGTAATGGAAAAAGCAACAGCAGGAGGACATCAGATAAAGCAAGCTGCCTATCCAATGCATACACATGCCCTTTACCTTAGAAACTGCATTTCCTTCTACACCCTGTTCAACTCTGGCATGTAAATGACTACCCTTCTGTACATCTATTAAAGCCCAAATCAATACAAACCACTTTACTTGATCACCACCTTACACTTACTCACACTTGTCTTATGGCAAACATACCCCATTGATTAGTTTCCTGTTGAACAAAGCCACAGTGGCCTAAGTAACTTGGAACTGTAAATTTGTCATCTCTTAATCATATAGGTTATGTATGTCTTTACCTGATGAACTGTTTAGCTGAATTATTAACACAGATTTTTTTTTCAGTTCCCGGTTTGTAAACAGGATGAAAAAAACCTGCCTGCAAACAACGGAAGATACTTGTGCTCTTATTCTACAATGCAGAGTCTTTTGTGTACACTATAGTGTATACCTCATTGTATCAGAGTGTGCCTTAGCTGGTGGTTGTGTCCTCAGAACAAGCACTCAACTCTTATGCATGCAATATGTGACAGAAGATAGGCTAAACTCTTTTAATGCGTCTAATCCCTATTTTCAAAACTGACTCAAGTGCTTTGGAGGTGAGCTGGTTGGAAATCTGTTTAAGAACATGCTGATGCGTCCAACCCAAAATGTTTTGAAAGAACACCTATTTCAACAAACTCCTGAGAAACCACAGGGTGCCTCCAGATACACACGCATGTGCAGTTTGCGGCAGCTTAAAACTTTTTGAGGCACTGCAAGCCACCCGTGGCACACATGCAACTGTTTGCTGTGCTGCAAATTTGTAGCATGGTGTCAAAAATTGACACAGAACTCCCAGTATAAACAAAAAAAAAACCTGCTAAAAAATACAAGCATGGGCAGGAGCAGCTGGAGGCTAGGTCCTCCAAGAAGACACTTTGGCTGCCAGCCAATGCATCTCCACTGCTTTAGGCATCCCCCAGCTCCTCCAATACCCCAGGAGCCGGGGAGAGCAGGGTATCGACAGTTTCCCTGAAGTGGGGCATTTTGCCGTGCACACATGCAGGGGAGTGTTCAATGGCAAAAAGCAGCGGTACAAATCTGTGCTGCAGCAAACGCATGCCCCCACATATGGGGACATGCCCATAGAGAGAAACCTGCATGATTTTATGCCACATTACCTGGATTCTGTGGTGTAAGTGGTCTTGAAATTAGTGACCTAAGGGCTGTCTGAGGCTTGAGAACCTGGAAAGCCTGGGAGCCCTGGCATTTGGGTCATGATTACCAGGCAGTCGAGTTATGCCAGCTGCCTGGGGCTAGAACCTCAAGTTCTCCAGGCTAGTTTAGTTTCTGGGCTGCCTGATTGTTGGGCCAGTTATTTTTTTTAAATATCATGGTGGAAAGGAAATTCAGTTTCCCAGCTAGCTCTACTTAGGAGTCCATGCCTCATTGCGAATCAGTGGGACTCAGACTCTGAAAGGTCCAGAGCAGCTTTAACAATAGGACAAAGGTTGTAAAGTCAATAAAGCCCTTTTGAAAATTTTACTCTGGGTCAGATGATGTCACCTTGGCCAAGGACAGACATTACATTTTTACCAGAATAAGCTATCAGAAACAGGTCTTTACCTATTAACAGAACAGAAGTTTGGAGCACAAAATTGGTCTATGCCCATAACAGGACAGAAGTTGGGTGCACATAGATTGATTTAAAAATGGCAGAACCTAGTCTAAGATTTGCTCTCCCGCAGCAAAGGGCGAATGTGTGTTCTGTTCACTTCCAATCGAAACTGTACCGCTTACAGAAAACTGCATAATTTAGATCAATTCCTCCTTGGGCTTTTTGAATGACTGTACCTAGCCCTTGGGATTGTATTTTGTGAGCTGAACTTCAATTTTGCAAGCATCTAGCTTCTGTCATATGATTAGAAAGGTAAAAGCCATTTAATGCTCATTTTATCTGAATGCAAGCTGCTTATACTTTCAAAACAGAAAGTTATGAAGTAAAAGAGAAGCAGCAATAAACCTGAATCAAATGACTGATTGATTAGAGATGATATGTCATCAGTAAACCTTTCAATAAATATAGCTTCATGTTTTTGAGCAGAATCTGTGGAGATCATGATTTTTTAAAAATGTTTCTTCTTCGGTATTAATAGGGCTTTTTGCCATCTTCTTTTAACATGTGCCCAAAGAAATGGGAGCATTGTTGAAGAAACTGCATGTAAGGATCAAAATAAATGCATCTTCCATGGTTTTTTACCAACTCTGGTATTGAAGATTGGATATGTGTTTACTATGAATATGAATTATGAAAGAATTCATAACAATGGAGTGCCATCACATGCTGATCCAAAGCCACCTTGCGAAGCTGAGCTCAATTTAGAAAAACTCTATGGACCTCTAACATTATAATTAGAGCATATATGGCTGAAGCTTGATCACTGAAACAAGTAATGTATAAGAAGGTAGATTGCTTTAGCTTTTTCTTTAGTAGTCTTATGAAATCTCTGCAAATACAACTGGCTATTAAATGATTAAAAAACCCTAACCCTGTGTTGACTTAAGTGATAACGCTGCCTTTACAGTAATCATGCTATAATACCGGTATTTCATAATTGTCATATCGCCACTACAACAAAGCCATCTCATAAAAAAGAAACACATGTAATTAAATTGCCCACGTCAAGTAGACTTTACACATTTGAATGTTTACAGGCATTGTGTGCACAAGTCCACCTTTTTAGCTGCATTGATACGATCTGGTTGATGACTAGCAATGCTGTCGTATAAAATTGGAGCGTCTCCTGTTGGATTGACCCTTTGTGTCCCCATGCTAACGCTGAGCATCTTCCATTGTCCTCGTATGGTGTTCTCTTGAGGTCTTCTACTAAGAGTCTCAATAAACCAGGTTAAGTGGCTTCAAACAAACAAGATGCAACAGCTTAAGTTGTCACTAGAGTTAAATGAAGACTGCACAGCTGGGAACTGGCAGTAGCAGTGAATCATCAGGCAAGAACTGAAATGTCCCTGATATACTCATCAGTAAAATTCTGGTCTTAATTCTACCAGTGTATCTGAAAAGTAACTCCTTTGACTTTAATCAGGAAATAGAGAACATTACTCTAGACTTTGAGTGATATAAATGATATCAGCATTTGTCTCCAAAAGACTAGATTTTCTGCCAAGTAAAATTATAGTTTTTCTGGGATTTTGATAGTCTTTGTGTAATCTTCATCAAACAGAACTCATCCATATCACAAATCCAGCAAATAAGACACTAGCCGAGAGACAGCAAAGTGGCCATGAAGAACATGCTTGCCAGACTCAGTGAAAATGAAATTCTTCTATCCATTGCTTTGTATCCCATTAGGAACAGCAGAAGAGCTGAAATAAGACTGGTGACATCTGAAAGCAGGCAGGAAAGCTGCTGCCAGGAGCAATGTGTTCAGGTCCAATCTGCAGCAGTCAGGGAAGATTGCACCAAGTTGCAAATGAGGATACCTTATGCCAACATGGGAAGTCTCTGCTGAAACTTTGAAGGTAAACAATCTTAGATTTCTTTTCTTTTTTCTTTTTATTTGTTGTTGTTGAGTGTTAACATGTGGCTTGACTGTGTTGCCTTGATTCCTCTTAAACTCACTCATCCACTGTCATCAGGAAAGGTGCTATGTGCTGAAAGCTTCCATGTGAGGTGAAAACCCC